AAGAGTTCCTTTTTCTCCACATCCTCGCCAACATTTGTTGTTGCTAGTTTTTTTAATATGTACCATTCTCACTGGTGTGAGATGGTATCTCATGGTAGTTTTGATTTGCATTTCCCTGATTACAAGTGATGTTGAACATTTTTTCATATGTCTGTTGGCCATTTGCATTTCCTCTTCAGAGAAGTTTCTTTTTAGCTCTTCTGCCCATTTTTTGACTGGATTATTTTCTTTGTTGTTGCTGAGTCTCATCAGCTCTTTGCAGATTTTTGTGATCAGTCCTTTATCATTAGTGTTGGGTGCAAAAATGTTCTCCCAGTTGGTGGGGTTTCTCTTTGTTTTTGTTATTGTCTCTTTGCTGTGCAGAAGCTCTTTAATTTGATGTAGTCCCAGCTGTTTATCTTTGCCTTCACTATCACTGCTTTGGGTGATGTGTCTGTAAAGATGTCTTTGATGTGCAAATCCCGTAGTGTTTCGCCTATATTTCCTTCTATGTATTTTATGGTTTCAGGTCTTATGTCTAGTTCTTTAATCCATTTTGAGTTGATTTTTGTGTATGGTGTGAGGTAGTGGTCAAGCTTCATTCTTTTGCATGTAGCGACCCAGTTTTCCCAGCACCATTTATTGAACAAACTTTCTTTGCTCCAATGCATAGTCTTTGCTCCTTTGTCAAAGATTAGTTGACCATAAATCTGTGGGTTTATTTCTGGATTTTCTATTCGATTCCATTGGTCTGTATGTCTGTTCTTGTTCCAATACCATGCAGTTTTGATGATTATGGCTTTGTAGTATAGTTTGAAGTCTGGGAGTGTGATGCCTCCATTTCCTTCTTTTTTTTTCAGTAGAGCTTTGGCTATTCGGGGTTTTTGGTGATTCCATATGAATTTCATCAATAATTGTTCTATTTCTTTGAAGAATGCCATTGAGATTTTGATTGGAATAGCATTGAATCTGTATATTGCTTTTATATAAAAAAAGAAGACATGATATATATACACAATTGAATATTATTCAGCAATCACAAAGATAAACTAATGCCATTTACAGCAGCATGGATGTAGCTAGAAGGGCTTGTGCTCAGTGAAATAAGTCAGAAGGAAAAAAAGAAAATATCACATGGTTTTAGTTATAGGAGGAATATGGGGGAAACAAATAAAGAATTAGAGGAAAAAATAATTAAAAAACAATAACAAAACAAAAATAAACAGACAACTATAAATCAGAGACATTCTGCAGAGGAGGTCTAGAGGGAGAAGGATCAAAATGAAGGAAACAAAATCACAAAGGATTGTGGTGATGGTGCACAGGTAAACGGGTGGTGGAAATTCTATGGGGACTACACCTGAGAAAAGAAAGCAAACATTGTAAAAAAAAATTTGAAAATAACTAAACATAGAGCTTCCATATGATCCAGCAATTCCACTCCTAGGTATTTACCCAAAGGACACAGAAACATCAATTCCAAAGAACACCTGCACCCCTATGTTTGTAGCAGCACTATTTACAATAGCTAAGCTTTGGAAACAGCCCAAATGCCCAAAAATAGATGACTGGATCAAGAAGATGTGGTACATATACACCATGGAATATTACTCAGCATTCAAAAAAGATAAACACATGCAATTTGCAGCAACATGGATGGCGCTGGAAGGGATCATGCTCAGCGAAATAAGCCAGAAAGAAAAAGAAAAATACCGGATGGTCTCACTCATAGCAGGAATCTAGAAAACTTAAATAAGGGACCAGGAAAATGAATAACTATAAGAAGGTGAAAATCAAAATCAACAAAAAACTATGAACCAGAGACACTTTTTGGGGGGTGGGAGGCAGGAGGGGAGGGATTGAGGTCAGAATGGGGGGGTTGCAATTGTATGGGGAATATAAAAATAAAATTTATTATTTAAAAAAAATTGGAAAATGATATAAAACAGAAAGAAGGAAGAAAGGAAGGAAGAGGAAAAAAAGCAAGGGACTTTATTCCAGAGATTGGCAAAAATAAACTGTAAGGGAGAGTGAACTCATTCCTACATTCTAATAAATATATGTACATGTGTAGGTTTGCATTTTGTGAGGGGGATCAATCAGCATCATTGGCAGGAGGTTATAATATATATAAATATAAATCCCCAACATTTATTAATCCTTATTAAAATTCAATTGCATTAGTTTGACTTTTAAAAAATAATAAACCAACATTTATTTAGCATTCTTTTGTAATGAATATATCTAAAATCTTCCAATCACATGTCACTGTTCTGAGTTCCTATTATTCATAGAGCTGTCAAATATATCTATAAGGTGTTAATCTACTTAGCTATAAAATGGGAGAGAAGAGATTTTATTTTCTTACAACACATTGTTGCTCATTTTTTATTTCTCCCTCAGGTTTAGTCCCCTTCATTCTCCCACCACCACATCACCCGTGAGCCATCACCATAGTCCCTTGTGTTCTTCCCTCCCCTGTTGCTGGATCATATGATAGATCCATTTATAGTGTTTTGAGGAAACTCCACAGAACTTTCCATAGTGGCTGGACCAGTGGGAAGAGATTTAAAACCAGGTCAGTGTGGCCTCAAACACAGGTCCCCACACATCAATTCCCATGACTTTTTTAGGTATTGTGTGGATTCACTTAGTCCATCCAATAAATATTTGTTAATCAACCATTTCTTAATCTTCCAAATACCACATTGGTGCTGGTTGCAATAATGAGCATGATGCACAGACTTCCTGACCTCTGGAAACTGATGGCCTACGGGATAGTAAGTTATCATAAGACATTGGACATGCCTCCCCAGCCACCTTCCAACTTCTCTTTCCATTTAGATATGAGGATCCAAGACAAACTTGACCTGTTATGGAAAAAAGGAAACAGCCAGGTTGTCCAGGTTGCATGGTTAGGGATAGGCTTTGCTGCTAAAGGCGTGGACATCTTACCCCAGTATGAATTACACAGAAATTCCTGCAAGACCAGAACTTATTTTTAAATCAGGAATAAGTCATGAATCTACAGAAATATTCCAATATTCAATGTCCCAAGGACACATGCTCCAGTAGGTGGTACCTTACAATTTCCCTATTTTGGTTTAAAAGGTTCCCCAGGGAAGGGGATCCACAAAACCCACTGTAAGAAGACAAACTCTGAAACATTGGGTGGGTAGGACTGGGAATTAGAAAAGACCTACATTGGAAGTCTGGTCCTACTCAGACATGAGATGTGTTAGTCATGCAGCCATTTTGAGTCTCAGTCTCATCTTTATCAAGTGGAGTGGATGTGAGTTTCTCTGCCCTGGTCCCCTTTGTGAGTCTGTAATGAGATAATGGATGTGGGGCTAACAGGAAACAACACTGCATATTCTGCTAAAGGGAAGCTCTGGTTTCCCCAGTTTTGACTAAAATTGTTTCCCACAGACTCCCACTTAATATTAACATGAAATCTTTTACTGCTTACTTTATAAAGAAAGACTAAATTGTACTATAGGACAAATGATGTGTAGTTAACTATTTATCTTCAACACGAATACACACTTTTTCAAACTTTGGCAAATTTGATTTATTGCTTGTGCATTTTAGTTACATTGGTTGTTGTGAACTAGTGTCCATAAACCAGTGCCCATTAAATATTATTACAAGTTCCAATTTTAAAACAAATGCACAAATTCATATTCAGAAATAAGTTCAATTTGTTAAGGAAGCCTTTTCTCAAAATGAGATGCATTTGACACTTAACGTTGTGTGCATTTAAGGTGCAAAATGTGTTTGTTGATACATTTATCAATCACAATATGATCATTACTGCACCTTTAGCTAACACCTCTATCACATCCCATAATTACCATTTCTTCTTATGTGGTAGGAACAATTAAGACTTAGCCTTTTAGCAAACTGAAGTGCAAACAACAGTATTATCATGTAGAATCACTATGCTGTGCATTAGTTCTCCAGGACTTATATATTTATAGGTTTCAAGTTCATACCTTCAAAGAGAATCTCCCCAATTCTCCCACCCCTCAACCAGTAGTAATCATCACTCTACTCTGTTTTTGAGTTCAGTGTTAAGATTCCATATATAAGTGATATATCGTACACTATCTGTCCTTCTTTGGAATACAAATATGTTCAACAAATTTTCAATACTATGCAGCATGTTTGATGTTAAATCCCTCATCAAACAGCAGGTGAGCATTAAGTCAGCATGGCCACAGGATACACATTCACCCTGGTTCTGCATTCATTTGTGTCATTCAACTAAAAGTCCCCATAACCACCTCATCATCCTCTCACACCACAGGCAGTTTCTCAAGGTGGGAACTTTCTCCTTGAACTAAACGGAAGAATTCATATTCATATCCTCTCTCTCTCTCTCTCTCTCTCTCTCTCTCTCTCGCTCGCTCTCTCGCTCTCTCGCTCTCGCTCTCACTCTCTCGCTCTCTGTCTCTCTGTCTCTCTTCCCTTCTCCCCATCTCCCCAACTGCTCATTTCCCCACTTGAAATGAAAGATCTCCTTTACTTTTTCTGTGAATGTTTATTACCGTTTCTACCAGCAATTGCATATATCTGTGCAAGGCTCATATTAGGGTTGTTTGTTATCCTCTACTGTAATCTGGTTTCATCTTTTGTGTTCTCACATATTCTGTGCTGTAGCTACCTGTTTCTGCCTTGTAGAGAGTTGGTGTTTGACATCTTTCTCAATGTGGATATATCGTTGGGGCAATTAGATCACCCAGGTTCTGGTGGAGAACAGATTCCAGGTTTGATACTACCTGACAAAGTGTACTGAGGTGGGTAGGAATCATCAAATCAGATTTTCTGTGTTATTAACTCATATGTCCTTCTACCCTAAATGCATCCCTGATAATGATAAACCTTTGTTCATGTGGATATTGCCTGCAAGGATTCTTGGAAGCCTTAAAACATGAGATAATTATAGAATAGTACACATTCATGGAGTGCCATTTCTAGTGACACAATTTGAGAGTTTCCAATGAATTCAAAACAATTCATCACAATTTTTCTGGATAGAGTTTTCTGAGGAAAGTCTTTTTCATAGCATTCTTCAGCTCCTTGTTCCTGAGGCTGAAGATGATGGGGCTGAGGAAAGGTGTGAGGACTATGTAAGTGATGCCCATTAGGGTGTCCATTTCCAGAGACTGGGGACCCTTGGGCTTTAGGTAGATGACAGAGGCAAAGCCATAGTGCACGACCACCACAGTGAGGTGAGATGCACAAGTGGAGAAGGCTTTGTGTCGACCCTCAGCGGAAGGGATCTTCAAGATGGTGACCACAATGAAGGCATAAGAAAGGAGGATGAGGAGCAGGCAACCCAGCAGGGCTGTTATACACAACAGTCCCACACCTGTGCCCACCATCGGCACATCAGTTCCACAAGCCAACTTCAACAGTGGAGGCACATGGCAAGCAAAATGGTGGATCTCATTAGGTCCACAGAAGGTAAGGTTGAAAATGGATGTTGTCACCACCAGTCCCATGATGAAGCCACCAGCCCAGGACCAGGATACAAGACAGGCACACCCATGGGGACTCATGAGCACATTGTAGCGCAGGGGGTGGCAGATGGCCACATAGCGGTCATAGCCCATGACAGTGAGTAGGAAGGAGTGTGTGAAGCCAAATGTGAAGGAGAAGAATGTCTGACTGGCACAGGCCCTGAAAGCAATGGAGTGGTTGGTGGACAGCAGGTCAGCCAACATGCGCGGGATGATGGCAAAGGTATAGAAGATCTCAGAGATGGAGAGGGCGCACAGAAAGAGATACATGGGTGTGTGGAGGCTGCGTTCGCTCCAGATGGTGGCCATGATGAGCAGGTTCCCCAGTAGTGTGAACAGATACATGAAGAAGAACAGTAAGAAGAACATCAGCTGAAGTTGGGGGAAGGTGGAGAAGCCAATAAGGATGAATTCAGTCACTACTGAGGTATTGGATCCCTGCATAGAGGTTGTGCTAGGGTGAATTAAGACAGGGAAAGGTCAGCTACAAGATGCAGAAATGTCAACAGTTTCCTCCGTACCTGGCCTCCCATGGTGCGTCTAATCAATGACAGCTAGCACTGATGAGCTCCACTCTGTGCCTCATGTGACTTAATTTTTTCATCAATCTAGTAAGGAATTATTGTTTTTATCACCCCGCTTTTAGTGTCTCATTGAGAATATTGGTGCAGAGTGGTTAAGCAACTTGCTCAAAAAACAGAACCCAACATAAACCCATGACTGGCTGTCAACAAAGACTATATACACTTTAATATACCTGCTAGGTCACCTTCCAAAATGAAAATGATCCTTCACCAGAGCTTATACCATTGTTGTTCTTCCATGCTACTGCTTTCTCATAAATTCAGCTTTCTCATAAATTCGTTGTTTTAGTTACCAGGAGACATTGTTATCCCATGGCTACAACGTATTGAAGCACAATGCATTTCTACAACTGAATATGAATTAATCAGATTCTTCCCCTGGAGTTATCACACAGGAATCAGAAGCATAAGACTGTAAAAATAATGTTATAGTGTTTTCTAGCTCCAGCAAGGTGCATCTATGTGTCCTGGGACAATCACAATACAGCCATCTGACCAAAGGACAGGGGAGTGAGTCAACCTGAGTTTGAATCCCTACGGTGTCTCCTGTGTGGACTTTAGCAAGTCTCTTCACCTTTATCTCTTGCTGTGCCTCCTTTTCCCCCCAAATTACCTGTGGGGAAAATGGAGTGGCTCAGACTTTTTTCCACCGAATAATTCATCAATAGTTCATTTTAAGGCAGAAATAGTGGTTTTACAAAATTGAGAATGTACATAAAGTCACTGAATTGTGTGCTATAAATTGGGTAAAATGATCAATTTTACATTATGTGCATTTTACCACAATAAAAAAGGGGGGTATCAAATGCCCACTGAGGGACTCAAGCCACTGATCAAGCCCTGAAAGGCTGATAATAACAAAATAAGTACAAACCACCTGGTTAGTTGATTAGAAGCTGCATTCCCCAACCATCACACTGCCCAATTTCTTGACCCTCCTTCCATTCCTGTGCTGAACTCATCCCTGGCACCCTCTAGATGCCAGTGGCATCTCAAATAATAAAAACCAAACTGAATTCAGCTATTATCAAATTTTCCCTGGGGAAGAACTGCTCATGGTTGAGAACCGTGGGCAAGAGTGTCTTATCTCTGAGACCGAATCTCACCTCATCTAGCTGCCCCCATCTGGGCTATCTCTTCTTGATAAGGCCATTTTGTTTCCCCTCTCTGCATCCTCCCTCCCATTTCTCTCCCCCTTTTCATCCTTAACTTCTCAGCAAAACCCCACCTGTGGATTCTGTTGCCTCCTTGATACTTTAGACCAAGGAGGTGACTGGAGTCTCTCAATCCTGTATCCTCTCATCTCTCTTTTCTCTGCCTCTCCCCAGTGTTTTCACCCAATTTCTGGCCAGGACAGAATAGAAATTAAAAGTCAAACAGGTGTTCTGGGAAACTTTGAGCAACAGATCTCCTCTCTCTTCATCTCAGTTTCTCACCTGTCCAATGAACCTGCCTCATAAGACAAAGAGTTCTGCAAAAGGCAGTGCTTTGCAGTAATCTTCACTCTTCATTAAGCTGGGAAGTGGAGCCCTCTGACTGCACCCTCCCCATAGACTCAAATTGCACAAGGAGCATAAATAGGGTGGCCTCATCAAGTCAGGGGCAGATGCTGGTTCCCCAGGTCTCTCCTGGTCAGATGAGAGGAAGGGAAGGTGACTCACCTAGGATTCCACAGCCTGATCCAACTGCTGCCTCACTCTAGCAGGAGGCCCTAGTTTGGCTTCTCTGTAGCTGAGGGCTGTGTGAGGGCTGGGCTGCAAGGCAAGGAGCCACCGCCAGCTGGCGGGGCTTAACCTGAGCCTGATCACTGGTATTTATCTGCCTCTGCTCCCTGCCAGCTGCCTTCTCTCACGGTGGCCCCACTGCCTCTGCCTCTGCTGCAGGGAAACTTGGACCCTTGGGGACATTTCGAGGGAGGGGACAACCTCAGGGATACTGTGTCCTCACTTTCCCTCCCTCCCTGCCCACCTGGGATAATTCAATTACCTGAATTTCTCAGGGGTTCAAGGTAGTGTCTAATGCTTTGGAAATTTGGGATTTGGACCCCTGGCTACTTACATTGGCAGGAGAGCAGCCCTGTCATTGTCCATTGGAGCTGAGGAAGCTGCTCAATGTGCTTTCTCTTCATCCTTCCCATACCGGTTCCAATAAAATGTCTTTTAAGCATTTAAAAATCAAACAACACAAATACTTGTTTTTTCCTTTTTTATATATTTATTTTCTGTTTTATATATTTTTTACATCACTTCATTTTTGTTTAAAGTGTGCTTTCTCCTCTCACCACTGATTCACCCATGCACCATCACCATAGTCCCTTGTGCTCTTCAACCCCTGTTTTGATCCTACTCCCTCCTCCTCCCCTGCAGAATGTCTCTGATTTATAGTTGCCTGTTGATTTTGATTTTTAATTTATTATAATTCCTTTTTTTTCCTGATCCCTTATTTGGTTCCTCTACATTCATCCTATAAGTGAAACCATCCGATATTTTCTTTTTATTTCTGGCTTATTTCACTGAGCATAATCCTTTCCAGCTCCATCCATGTTGCTGTGAATGGCATGAGTTTATCTTTTTTGATTGCTGAATAATATTCCATGGTGTATATGTACCACATCTTCTTGAGCCAGTCATCTATTTTTGGGCATTTGGGTTGTTTCCAAGTCTTACCTATTGTAAATAGTGCTACAATAAACATAGGGGTGCAGGTGTCCTTTTGAATTCACATTCTTGTGTCCTTTGGGTAGATCCCTAGGAGGGGAATTGCTGGGTCATATGGAAATTCCATTTTTAGTAGCTTGAGGAACCTCTACACAGCTTTCCATAGTGGTTTGACCAGTTTGAATTCCCACTAGCAGTATAGGAGAGTTCCTTTTTCTCCACATCCTCACCAACAATTGTTGTTGCTAGTTTTTTAATATGTGCCATTCTCACTGGTGTAAGGTGGTACCTCATTGTGGTTTTGATTTGCATTTCCCTGATTAGAAGGAATGTTGAACATTTTTTCATATGCCTGTTGGCCATCTGCATTTCCTCTTTGGAGAAGTGTCTTTTTAGCTCTTCTGCCCATTTTTTTTTTTTTACTGCACTGTTTGCTTTTTTTGTTGAGTCTCATCAGCTCTTTGTAGATCTTTGTGATCAGTCCAAAACCATTAACACTGTGTGCAAAATTTTCCCCCAATCAGTGGGGTGTCTCTTTGTTTTGGTTAATGTCTCTCTTTTTTTTTTCATTTTATATTTTATTTATTTTATTTTTTTAATAATAAATTTTATTTTTATATTCCCCATACAATTGCAACCCCCCCATTCTGACCCCAATCCCTCCCCTCCCGCCCCCACCCCCCAAAAAGTGTCTCTGGTTCATAGTTTTTTGTTGATTTTGATTTTCACTTTCTTATAGTTATTCATTTTCCTGGTCCCTTATTTAAGTTTTCTAGATTCCTGCTATGAGTGAAACCATCCGGTATTTTCTTTTTCTTTCTGGCTGATTTCGCTGAGCATGATCATTTCCAGCGCCATCCATGTTGCTACAAATTGCATGTGTTTATCTTTTTTGAATGCTGAGTAATATTCCATGGTATCTATGTACCACATCTTCTTGATCCAGTCATCTATTTTTGGGCATTTGGGTTGTTTCCAAAGCTTAGCTATTGTAAATAGTGCTGCTATAAACATAGGGGTGCAGGTGTTCTTTGGAATGGATGTTTCTGTGTCCTTTGGGTAAATACCTAGGAGTGGAATTGCTGGATCATATGGAAGCTCTATGTTTAGTAGGTCCAGAAATCTCCACACAGCTCTCCATAGTGGTTGGACCAGTTTGCACTCCCACCAACAGTGCAGGAGAGTTCCTTTTTCTCCACACTCTTGCCAACATTTGTTGTTGCTAGTTTTTTTAATATGTGCCATTCTCACTGGTGTAAGATGGTATCTCATTGTGGTTTTGATTTGCATTTCCCTGATGACAAGTGATGTTGAACATTTTTTCATATGCCTGTTGGCCATTTGAATTTCCTCTTCAGAGAAGTTTCTTTTTAGCTCTTCTGCCCATTGTTCCATTGCATATTCTTTGCTCATTTGTCAAAGGTTAGTTGTCCATAACTGTGGGTTTATTTCTGGGTTTTGTATTTTTTTAATATTTCATTTTATATATACTTTTTTAATATTTTAATTTATATAATTCTTACATCATTTTTCATCTTTGCACATTGTATGCATTTTCATTATAGTTATATTCCCCATACAATTGCACCCCGCCTGTATTTTCACTCTAGTCCTTCCTCTTCCCGCCCAATAGTGTGTCTCTGGTTTATAGTTGCTTGTGGATTTTGATTTTTACTTTGTATTGATTAGTCTTTTTCAGGGTCTCTTATTTAAGTTTTCTAAATTCCTGCTATGAGTGAGACCCTCCGGTATTTTTCTTTTTCTTTCTGACTTATTTTGCTGAGCATGATCCCTTCCAGCTCCATCCATGTTGCTGCAAATTGTATGTATTTATCTTTTCTGATTGCTGAGTAATAATCCATTGTGTATATTATATGTACCACATCTTCATGATCCAGTCATCTATTTTTGGGCATTTGGGTTGTTTCCAAAGCTTAGATATTGTAAATTGTGGTGCTATAAACATCGGCGTGCAGGTGCCCTTTAGAATTACTTTTTCTGTGTCATTTGGGTAAATACCTAGGAGTGGAATTGCTGAATCATATGGAAGCTCTATGTTTAGTAGGTCAAGAAATCTCCACACAGCTCTCCATACTGGTTGGACCAGTTTGAACTCCCACCAACAGTGCAGGAGAATTCCTTTTTCTCCACAACCTCGTCAACATTTGTTGTTGCTAGTTTTTTTAATATGTGCCATTCTCAC